AAGATCTATTATATATATATGATATAATAAACTTGTCATTTTTTAATTTTTTATAATTTTATTTACTCAAATTAATATATATATTTAACTTTCATATGTAACTTTATAAATTATTATTTACAACTTATTATTTAATACAATATTCTTATTTAACTTTCGATCATAAAATATATAAAATAAAATAAGTGGCCAAATATTTATTATGTGTATTTTTCGTTTATCATTAATTTCATTTGTATTATTTTTTAAATTTTATTAAATTAAAAATACTCACTATTCACTACTTTTTTTTTCATCTTCCTAAATATGTTTGTTATAATAAATATAAAACAACATAAATACTATTTGAGAATAAAAACTACTTACATATATTAAATAATATATACAATTTACTAAATACACTACTAAAATATAATACTTAATATTTACTAATTGAGAATAATTTTTAAATTTATAATAACAATTACTTTTTATATATTATTTTTAGAAACTACTTACAACTAATTTTATTCTTTACTATTTAACAAAATTATATATTTAATTCACTATTTTAAATTAATATAAATTTAACATTCTCTACTTTTTAACAGTATGCTTAAATATTATTTACATTTACTATTTACAACTTATTTATCAATACAAGTATTTGTTATATATGATTTCAACATTAAATTTCCCACATTAAACCTTTAGTAATTTTTATTAATTTCTTTCTTCAATTTTCATATTACGTAAATAATTTTTTTATAAATTACTTTAAATACTAATTAAATGCTTTATTGGTTTTTTATAATTTACAATTATTAATTTCAAATGTAATATTAACTAATTATTTCTTACAAATCAATTTATACACCACTTAAATATATACAAATAATTTATACCTAAATAGTGATTGAATTTTTTTTTAATATTCCTACTAACATAAATCATACTACATTACATTCATTCAAATTTTAAATTCAAAATACAACAATTTCCTACCATACAAATACATAAAATTTATTCTATTTACAAATTATATATACAATAATTTATTTTAAATTTAAAATTGTAAATATAATACTTACTTGCAAAAAAATTAATAGCACCTTGTACAATTTTTCCTTCCCTGAAAAATAAAACATTTAAACCATAAAAATTTAAAACTTCAAATTTTTGAATTCAAAAAAATTAAAATAAAAAAAATTATCATTTTTTAAAAAAAATAAAATACATTTACTTACCGTTAATCAGTCAGAGTCAGAGCCGGAGTGGGAGACCCTCAACAGAGATGATAGATCCGAAAACCACAAAGGAGAGCACAAAATCAAAATCTAAGAACAAGGAGAAACAAATTCACGGTGGAAGTGAATTAGAGATGGAGAAAATGGTGACTATATAAGGGCAGATTCACAGCGGAGAGGTGAATTGCAGATGGAGACAATGGTGATATAAGGGTGTGGGTGGGGGAAGCTGGATCCGGATCCTCTGACTTTGAGATATCAAAGTTATGGTAACTTAACACATTTTAATCGTTGGATTTGTAATAATAGATCAGATTGTGACACATGTACAAAATATATTTTGACTTAAATGTACACGTGTCACAATCTGATCCATTATTACAAATTCAACGGTTTAAATGTGTTAAGTTACCCTAACTTCCCCTCTACAAAGTTAGGGGATCTATTTCCGGGAAGCTGTGTATACAAGGCGCCGGGGTGCCCAGCATTTTCTGAAAATGCATTGGGCTCTATGCCAACCTCTTAAATGCCTCTAAAAGGCTCTGTTTACCAAAGGTGTCTCTGTCCCTCTGTGTTCTTGCCTAGACACCAGGTCTTCCACCTATGGGATGCTGGTTTCAAGGAGTTTCACCTCCCCATGGAGTCACATTATTGCAAACACATTAAAATAGATCAAAAGATAACGAGAGAACATATAGATGAGGGATGCGGAAGGAGCATTGTGTAACACATCATGTTTATACCTTATTGTTTTAGTATCTATAAAATTATATACTTTTGATATAGTATCTCTTATATTGTAAAAATTCATTGCAGTCTCTATTGTATAGAAAGAATTATGAGCTGTCTAATTTTTGTTAACCACGTTATCACTCAACAATGACCTCTCTCGGGACTAAAATGAAAAAAAATAAAAATAGGAATGTAAATTGATATATATATTTAAAAGAAAAGTCAAAATGAATAAATAATCTATATCTATATAATATAGTAAGCCTCACCCGTAAAATATTGCAGTCACTTGTCAACACTAAAATTTGTCATATTTAGAGTCAAAATATGGCATATTGAACAAGGCCTTTCTTAAAACTTAAATAGGTCTAATTTATTTTTTTAAAAACATTAAAGTCGGTCTAACTTGTTACTTACCACAATTCTTTTAAGCATGGATAGATCGGTCTTTTTGAAAGTTTGACTTATCCTAAAATCCTATTTAAAGATCTATTCCATATAAATGTTCTTAGATGAGTACAACGAATCTCTAAATAGGCTAATAAAAAAATAGACTAAAAATTCTGCATAAAACAAACTATAAAGTATGAAAACTAAAACATTACTACTATAAGACATGAGACAAAGGTAGAAATTGGTAGGTTAAACTTTATAAGAGTGACTCTAATTTGTTTATATGATATATAAACTGATTTTAAAAGTCTAATGTGACCTTTATGATAACTAATATAAAAGTATTTTTTGCATGTCCTTTAAATAAGACATAAGTGTAGTCTGCATCTTAGAGAGCTCTTCTAAGTTACTTTTAAAGTTAAACCCCTCCAAGGCTCGTGTTTTTGCAAGGTTACCAACATTGGAATGATTATGATATTAATATTGAGCTTGTTTGGATGTAAGCTAGAAATATTTTTGAAAATTTCTTTACTAGAAAATATTTTCTATTTTCAATATAAAAACTCTCAAAAGTAGTTCTAACTTATATTCAAACAAGTTCATGATAGTTTAAACAAATTATGTGATCAGCAAACAGTACATCACAAACTGATTCTACGCTGGAACTCAGTTCATGTATATGGTGACAGTCTTATGATTCAAAGGTTCTCATTGTAGTACATTTGCTTAATTAACAAAATCATACAAAGAGCATTGATCATTAAGCATGAGAATTTTATTTCATAAAAAATCAAACAAGCAACATGTACAAGAGATCATTAAATAACTGTGTACCGCACCTAATTTGTGTGTTTAAAAGTGTCTATTTGAAAGTACCAATCTGACTTCAGGAAATAGAAATTTTCAATCCATATGCAGCAGCTACTTCTTAAGCAGCATTTTTATTTCAAGTGTTTTGTGAATAATTATTGCACTCCACTGTATATAAAAACTTCGATCAACAAATGAATGCATCACTTCAAAATGAAGCACTTCAATACAGAAGAAATAATATCTTTTTTTGAGACCCCTCATTGCCATTTGTGAGCCTTGATATCAGGGTAAAGTCCCAAAACATGCTCTGGCATGAAATCATGGCGTGTTAGAATCCCAACAACCGGAGGTCTCTGCAATATGTAGACATTCTCAGCATATTTTGCATCAGGTGAAGGAAAGAAGTAATACTATTAGGGACGTGTTTGAATAAAAAACTTAGTTAAGTACTTATTCAATAAACTCTTGTTAAAAGAGAATTTATTCATAAGCTTGATGGCCGAGCTTACTGAAATAAGCTAAAAAGAGCTTATTATTTAAGCTTTCTCCACGAGACTTGTTGAAATAAGATATAAGAAGGGCAACAGACTCAAAACTTAGAAGTCACTTTGATAAATTCAAATAAGTTCATCTAAATGCTCCTTGAATCTATTTTGGAATCTTCAAATAAACTGTAGGGAA